TGGGAACCGGCGGCAAACCGTAAACCAGGAAACCGCCGGGCACCTCGTAGAGCTCTTTTGTTGCACAGCGCTCCTCGGAAGACATGAAGGAAGCTTCTCAAGCGAGAGCCGAAAAACTCGAACCATCACAATTTTTTGGTTTCCATACAAAATCGGTTCCTGCAAGTCTTTCGATAGTAAAATTGCAGCTACGGGTCTGAAAATTTAACTGGCAGACGCGGCATAACCCACTATACGTGAGAAATGTCTGGTTTCTCAAAACTAAGAACCGGCGGTAAACCGTCAACCGCCGGGCACCTCGTAGAGCTCTTTTGTTGCACAGCGCTCCTCGGAATACATGAAGGAAGCTTCTGAAGCGAGAGCCGAAAAATCGAAAAATCACGATTTTCGGCTTCCATCCAAAATCAGTTCCTGCAAGTCTTTCGACAGTAATATTGCAGCTACGAACCTGAAAATTTAACTGCCAGACGCGGCATAACCCACTACATGTGAGAAAAATATGGTTTCTCAAAATGAACTGTCAAATATCTTTCAAGTCTCAGCAAAACCGACCCAAAGTCACCACTTTGTCTCTTAAGACTGGGTCGGCCAACTAGCCCCACCCCGCGCCGGAATTCCTCCAGCTCATCGATGCCGAAGAGCTCTACGAGGTATGAATTGTCAAATATCTTTGAAATTTCAAAACCGACTCAAAGTCACCACTTTGTCTCTTTAAGGCCGGGTCGGCCAACTCGGCGCCGGCGGTAAACCGTCAACCTTCTTACCGCCGGGGGACTCCTTCCTGACATATATAATGTGGAACAAAAAACAGAGAACGAATAGTTTTCAGCCCAAGCGATTTCAGACCTCTCGATGCAACAGCCAAACGCCCCCGATGCTTCTGGATTGTCTTCTTCACGAGCTCTGCAGCTCTCCTACAGCCCGAGTTACGTGCGTAAATCGACAGCACCTCTCAAGATGACTCTAACAAACGAATAGTTTGGCAACCCAGCTCGAGTATCAAGCCGAGTTCAGACCTCTGAATGCGACAGGCGGACGCGTCTGATGTCTGCGAATCGACTCCTGTGATTACCAGCCCTGCAGCCCCCCTACAGTCCGAGTTACGTGCGTAACTCGACAGCACCTCTCATGATGACTCGAACAATACAATAGTTTCGCGGACTAGTTCGGCCAGCAGACCGAGTTCCGAGCTCTGGATTCGACAGGCGGACGCGCCTGATGTCTTCAAATCGATTCATGTGACCACCAGCACTGTAGCCCCCCCCCCCAGCACTGTAGCCCCCCCAGTGGCGAGCCCTCCGACGCTCCCGTGAAGCGCTTCTGGGGCTCGGGGGGCTTCCCTGCAGCGCTTCTGAAGCACTGCCAGGAACGCTTCCACGCGTGCCTGCACGCATGCAGGCGCGCGTGGACGCCTGCGGGAATTCTCCCGGGCCCGCTGCCGGGGCGGGCGAGGCGCTGCGAGAATCCTGGACCGGCGAAGATGGGCTGCCGGCGGGCACCACCACCGTCAGGCTTGCACTCTAAAACCCTCTAGCTCTGAGAGAGCTCGCCGGGAATCTCAAGAAGACCAAACAGCCGGTCCCGCCCGTGTGCTTTTTATCAGTACTGGGCGCCGGCGGTAAACCGTCAACCTTTCTCACCGCCTGGGGACTCGTAGAGCTTCCTGACAATATATAATGTCGAAAAAAATTGCAGAGAACGACAATTCTTTCAGCCCAAGCGATTTCAGACCTCTCGACGCAACAGCCAAACGCCCCCGATGCTTCTGGATTGTCTTCTGTACGAGCTCTGTAGCTCTCCTACAGCCCGAGTTACGTGCGTAAATCGACAGCAACCCTGAAGATGACTCAAACAATACGAACAGTTTGGAAAACCTAGCTCGAGTATCAGACCAAGTTCAGGCCTCTGGATGCGACAGGCGGACGTGTCTGATCTCCGAATCGATTCCTGTGATTACCAACCTGCAGCCCCCTTACAGCCCGAGTTAAGTGCAGAAAACCGACAGCATCTCAGGATCACTCGGACAATACGAATAGTTTCGCGGACCTAGTTCGGTCAGCAGACCGAGTTCGAAGCTCTAGATTCGACAGGTGGACGCGCCTGATGTCTCCGAATCGGTTCCTGTGACTACCAGCACTGTAGCCCCCCACAACCCGAGTTAAGTACAGAAAACCGACAGCACCTCTCAAGATGACTCGAAGAATACGAATAGTTTCGCGATTCTAGTGCAGGCAGCAGACCGAGTTCAGAGCTCTGGATTCAACAGACAAACGCGACTGATGACTCTGAATCGGTTCCTGTGAGTATCAGCTCTGTAGCTGTCATATAGCTCGAGCTAAGTACAGAAAACCGAGAGCGCCTGTCAAGATGACTCGAATAATACGAATAGGTTTGCGGACCTAGCTCGACTAGCAGACCGAGTTCAGACCTCTGGATGCAACAGACGAACGCGCCTGATCATTCTGAATCGATAAGGTGTGCTTACCAGCTCTGTAGCTGTCCTGTATCTCGAGTTATGTCCAATATACCGACAGCGCGTATCAAGATGACTCGAAACGGCCGATCCCGCCTGGACGCTTTTTGGCAGTACAATATACCCGATCGAGCTGAGATCAAGATGGCGAGCGGGAATAAGATCGAATATCACTGGAAAAAATACTAGAGCTCTAACGAATTGTTGAATTTCGAGACCAAAATTTTCAACCGACCAAAAGTCACCAAAAGGTCCGTCGAGATTTTTCTTGCCAACTAGCTCTCCAGCGCCCCGGAATTACTCTTAAGCTTCCAGCAATCATGGGAACCGGCGGTGAACCGTCAACCAGGTTACCGCCGGGACCCTCGTAGACCTCTATTCTCACACCGCGCTTCTCGAAACGCATGAAGAAAGCTTCTGGAGCGAGAAACGAAAATATCTAAAAATCACATTTTTCTGTTTTTATCCAAAGTCGGTTCCCCCAAGTGTTTCAATAGTAATACTGCACCTATCGGCCTGAAAATTTCACTGGCGAACGCGCCATAACCCACTACAGGTGCGAAAAATCTGCTTTCTCAAAATGAATTTCAAATATCCTTCAATTTTTTGCAAAACCACCCAACAGTTACCACTTTGTCCTTTCTGGCCGGGTCGGCCAACTGGGCGCCGGCGGTAAACCGTCAACCTTTCTTACCGCCGGGGGGCTCGTAGAGCTTCCTGACAATATATAATGTAGAAAAAGAAACGTAGAGAACGAATAGTTTTTCAGCGCACACGATTTCATACCTCTCGATGCAACAGCCAAACGCCCCCGATGCTCCTCGATTGTCTTCTTTACGACCTCTGTAGCTCTTCTACAGCCCGAGTTACGTGCGTAAACCGTCAGCACCTCTCAAGATGACTCTAACAAAACGAGTAGTTTGACAACACAGCTCGAGTATCAAACCGAGTTCAGACCTCTGAATACGACAGGCGGACGCGTCTGATGTCTACGAGTCGACTCCTGTAATTACCAGTCCTGCAGCCCCCCTACAGCCCGAGTTAAGTGCAGAAAACCACCAGAAGCTCTCAGGATGACTCGAACAATACAATAGTTTCGCAGACCTAGTTCGGGCAGCAGACGAGTTCCGAGCTCTGGATTCGACAGGCGGACGCGCCTGATGTCTTCGAATCGATTCCTGTTACCACCACTGTTCCCCCTCCCAGCCCGAGTTGAGTGCAGAAAACCGAGAGTACTTCTCAAGATGACTCGAAGAATACGAATAGTTTCGCGATTCTAGATCGGGCAGCAGACCGAGTTCAGAGCTCTGAATTGAACAGAGGAATGCGAATAATGATTCTGAATTCGTTTCTGTAAGTATCAGCTCTGTAGCTGTTCTATGACTCGAGTTAAGTACAGAAAACCGAGAGTGTCTGTCAAGATGAGCCGCATAATACGAATAGGTTTGCGGACCTAGCTCGGCCAGCAGACCGAGTTCAGACCTCTGGATTCAACAGGCGAACGCGCCTGATCATTCTGAATCGATGAGCTGTGCTTACCAGCTCTGTAGCTGTCCTAAAGCTCGAGTTATGTCCAGAAATCCATCATCTTGTATCAACATGACTCGAAACAGCCGATCCCGCCCGTGTGCTTTTTGGCAGTAAAAGTACTTGATCGAGCTGAGATCAAGATGACGAGCGGGAATAAGATCGAATATCACTGGAAAAAAAAACTAGAGCTCTAACGAATGGTGGAATTGCGAGAACAAAATTTTCAACCGACCAACAGTCAGCAAAAGGTCCGTCGAGATTTTTCTTGCCAACTAGCTCTCCAGCGCCCCAGAATTACTCTTAAGCTTCCAGCAACAACTTGCTAAGGGAAGCTCTACGAGTTACTAGCTCCACCCCGCGCCGGAATTCCTCTAGCTCATCGATGCCGAAGAGCTCTACGAGGTACTTGCTAAGGGAAGCTCTACGAGTTACCTGGGCGCCGGCGGTAAACCCTCAACCTTTTTTACCGCCGGGGGACTCGTAGAGCTTCCTGCCCACCTGTTGTTCGGTAGCTTCCAAAGCATGGAGAGCGAAGAGACCGTGGGGCAACAGAAATCTTTCTTAGAGAGCTCCGCGGGGCCCCCCTACAGCGCTTCTGAAGCGCTGCCAGGAACGCTTCCGCGCGTGCCTGCACGCGTGCAGGCGCACTGGGCGCCGGCGGTAAACCGTCAACCTTCCTCACCGCCGGGGGACTCGTAGAGCTTCCTGACCATATAATGTCGGAAAAAATTGCAGAGATGCAAGTACTGAAATGTTATCTTGATAACTTAAGTAGCGGAGCTGGGGTCCACGGACCCTGCCCGACAGGGCTGGTGAAATCCTTTTCCGCCTCAGCATGAACTGAACCAAAACTGGCTCTCAACAGTACACAAATGTCACAACAGCGCATGCACAACAATCCTCACTCAAATCACTGATATATACCTTGTTTCCTGCACTCCTCCTCGGGCCCATCTGCAGCTTCATGCCAAGATCGGGCACGCATTCTGGAAACATATCAATATCGAATCATAGCCAGCGAGCGAGGGCGCCAAATCCCGACAAACCCATCAACACTGTAGATCTTGTCCTGCCTTATCTCGTTGAGGGCGGTAGCCACGCAAGCTTCGACCACCATCGCCTTTGTATATGTCGAGACGGCCCGATCCACTCGCCGTAGTCGTAGAAACTCCCGTCCACTGTCTATAGTCATAGCTGTGAACATAGCCCGAAGATCATTGACCACGATCTTGCTCGTAGCTCCATTCTTCATCGTGTCCTTCAGGCTGTACTGAGTTGAGGCATCTTTCTGTGCTGGCTGCGTGATACGGTCGATGTGCTGCTTGACTTTGAAGACTGCACTCGTTGCGATAACGCTCAAAAGGGTGAGCATCATCATCACGACCGTTGTGGAAACGCCAAAATGGCTCTCATCATCTGCAGGGCTTGAGATCGCGACTGGCTGAAACTCCTTCTCCACCAACTCAGTAGCGTCCGCACGTCCAAATTGAAGAAACGTACCAAGACCCACCAAGCATTGAGTAAGTGCTCCCATCAGCTCCAGCGCAGGCTTACCGATCTGGCCCTTCTTCTCGTTGCTTGAACCCGAAATTCCACCAACCTCACCTTTCCCAGTGAGCCAAACCTTCATCGCCGTTAGGTGCTTCATGAAATCGACCCTCGAAAGATGTTTCGTCCCAAGATCTGCGGTGTTCTCGTCGGCGTGAACTTTGCTCGTGCTGACCTTCGTCTCAGCCTTACGCGCGACTAGGTCCTTGATCCACAGATCCTTCAACTCGATGTGCCTCATCCTGCCAACTCCCTTTTTCTCGACGTTCGTGAGAGCGCTGGAGTTGTCACTCTCCAGCGTCACTGGTACAGTTTCGTCCAAGAGCTCCTTGAGATAAGTCTGTGCTCCTCTCGCCTCAATCCCGACATGCACGAGTGCGTTAAACTCAGCTTCGGGCGACGAGAGTGCTGGTGCCCCCTGAGTCTTGACGAACTGCATGATCAAAGCTCCAGTGAGAAACAACTGACCACAACTTGTAGACTTCCTCCCGATAGGGTCCTCTGCCCAATTAGAGTCTGCACGTCCGATAACCTTGAACTCGCCGCTGTCTGGATACATGCACGTGACTGAAGATGGGTGAGCTCGAATGAACCTGATGATGCGCGTGAGCCTCGTCTGGTCCTGCACCGTCGGTCGTGACATCCCCCTCGAACACTCCTTCGCTGCGTACTGACACTCGGGCCTCTCCAAACACACGAACATGTTGAGGCCGTTGACGCTCCTGAACTTTGTGGCCGCTTTGGAATCCAACTCCTCCTCGCTCTCGACCTTCTTCTCGTTCTTGACTCCTGGTATTGGGCTCGTCTTCTTATCATTGGGCTCAGAGTCGAGTAGCTTCTTGAAAATAGCAGGCCACATGCGAACTTGAATACCTTCGGGGGTGCGGAGCCAGCCACGTCCAAGGTGCTTGATCTCAGGACCACCAACTGTGAGCTCAGAAACCTTGAGTAGAAAATGTGTGCCGAGCTCCTCCAACGCTTTGCTGGCTGAAACTCTGGGTCCCACCAGCGTGCCATCGTCAACATGCTTGGACATAGCAACTTGATTAGCCCTGTCTGCAAACGTACACGGGTCAGAAAGAAACCTCTTGAAAGTCATCTTAGATTCATCACTCCGTCCTGTAGCGATGTTCTCAAAATGGTCGTCGAAATCGATCATCGCCTCGTTAAGTCCGTAGACGGTCTTATTGAGCTTGAAAACCCAATCCGAACTACCGGGAAGATGGCAGTACTCCTTCGGAACCTCTGCGTACACCAAAGCCCGAATCGGCGCGTACAGAAACGCTCGAGATATGTCGAAAAAGAAGATGGCGAAATCCTTGACGATAGCGTAGACCATGAGCAGCTTGAGTGGGAACGAAAGTGGAGTAGGGCAGTACAGCTCATTCTTGCTCTTGTTGACCTGCTTGCCGAATGGTCGCGCACAAAGCCCCGCCTTGAGCTCACCACTCCTCATCTCCAAAACCCAAGTCCACATAAGTGCCTTAGGCCCGTGAGGGCCCCTCAGCGTGAGCTCCCACACGTCGTAGTTGTCGAACCGATCTAGCTCGCACTGCTTCGCCTCCCACTCGTCGTCCTCGGTCCAGCCCATCACGATGCTGAACTCGATGTCGTCCTTCAGCTCCTTGTCGACCTCGCCCACGAGCCTCATCATCTCCTCCGTGCTGAAGCCCGCCACGAGCCTCTTGAGGTCGCCAGTACTCAAGCTCTCGATGGCCCCCACCAGGCCACGATTTCCAGGTGGGCCTCCAGGGCCGCCTTCACCGAGGTCAGCGTCGGCAGCTCCTCGCTTAGCGGGCGCCCCTGGAGCTGGTACTCCCTGCTTGCCACGAAGCCTCTTCTCGATCTTCTGCACCTCCCGACGAACTGCTTCAACTGGATCTTGACCTTGTGCTGGCTCTGGCCCTGCTGGTCGCTGTGCTTGCTGCTCGCCGTTGTTGGCCTCCGAGCTGGCCGTAGGTACGGGAACCACGACCACCTTCGGCTGCTCGTCATCCTTGCTGGCGATTGACTTCTCGTACTCGGCCCGACGCTGCTGGCATGTCCTGCTGTGGCGTGGTGGCCGTCCTCGTCCGTGCTGACCTTTAGCTGCATACTCACACCCAGGGCATCCTTCCGTCGGCTGCCAATTCTCGCCCTCATAGACTCCAGCTCGAACCGAGGTCCTCCAAGGCGTCCAACGCATGGCTTTGAGCATCTCCATGTCGAAGCTCTCCTCCGTCGTCAGCTGCTTCACTGTCCTGGCCTGAACTACCCCCGTCGCGGTGCCGACAAGATGAGCATCACTCTTCGAACTGCGTCCGAGCCACAGTCCCTTGCACCAGGCTGTACCCAGCTTGTCCTGCAGCTCCGTGTGCTCCTTGCCGATCACTGTCTCTCCGAACTCCAGCATGGGTGAAGTGTACGGTGCCAACCTGAGCTCCTCGAAAGATGCGCGACCGCTGCTCCTTCTCCGCTGGTACCTGTTGTGGCAGAATAGATGATGCCGAATCATCCAAGGTATGATAGGAACATCCTCAGTGAACTTCATATTGTAACGCTTCTCCAGAGCCAAACGCCCAGTCCCTGCAAGACCTGCAACCGACTTAACTCCACTCTCAACCCCACCTTGAGAAGCGTGGCTTCCTTTTGGAACTAGCCGTACTCGAAGTTGAGCTTCAGCTGCCTCTTTGCCGAGCTTCTTGATACGCTCCGAAATCACTCCATTCATGAGTGCCTCCAGTGCTGGTTCTCCGTCTAACTGAACTTCCATACTCATGTAGCCAAGCTCGTCCAGGTACTCGCTGATGGCCGCTATAGCGTAGCTCTGATTGCCTTTAGCTTCCACGACAACTCCCATGAGGTAGCCTGTCCTTCTGTCCTTGCCGACTGCCAGGGTAAGACGCCGACCTGATCCATCTTCACCAAGACTGAGAAACCCACAGTCGAATGATACAACTGGAGTAGCCGATGCGTTTGGATCTCTCGCGCGATGAGGGTCTTCTTGCCCTCGTCCCATCATGCACTCCTGACACCAAGCTTCGAAAGGAATATGACCTCTCCGAATGTGCGCTCTGACATGTTCTCCTGACATCCGAGCTGGTCTCTTGAGCCCGGGTGCGACGGGCGCCCCCGTCTGATCTGGAACTCCTTCTGCGACACCACGTGGGCCATCACGTGAACTAGCCGCTCCACTGTCAGCCTGCACCTCCACAGGCTGTGTCTCGACAGGCTCCTCCTTCATCTCCGCGTCGTCCTTCTCAGAGTGGTCCTCGACATCGCCGATGATGGACTCGTCGCCTGTCGGATCCTTGAACCTCATGGGAAGAAGAAACGCATTCACCTTCCGTCGTAACCGCAAAGTCACTGTCGACTCGATTGCTTTATCTATCTCGTGCTGCACATTCTTGTTGCTTTTGAACATCTTGGCTCCGTCAGGATCAAAGTGCACCGAATAACCTGCATCATTCATCTCTGCAACTGAAAGGGCACCTCTACGAACTTCAGCTGGCGTGACGTCTAGCTTTGCAGGGATCGACGTGTTCGAATCGAAGACCTCACCCGTCAACGTCCGCTTACCCCAAGTCCGAATACCCTTATCAGTAATGGATCGCAGAGACTGACCTGGCTCGCCTGTGAGCTTGCACTTCTCCGTCATAGCCTTTGGTACAACATGAGTGTGAGCTCCACTATCCACGAGCATCTCGCATTCGTCCCCGTCAGTGTCGTCCGTAAACGCAAAAATCCAACCCCCTTCGTCATCTGGTAGTACTGCTGCCTGTACGCGTCCAGCTCCACATACTCGTGTCTGTGACGCTGAACCTCCTGGATGGACCGTACTTGCTAAGCCCGATCCTGGAGTTGGTTGAAGTCCTGGCTGAAACTCAGAAACGGATCGCTGACCTCCTCCAGGCTGGTAAGCGCCGCCGCCGTACTTCCTGCAGTCCGCGATCTTGTGCCCGTACTTGCCGCAGTGGGGATTCGAACACCATCCGTCGAAGAGCTTCGTCTCGCCCTTCTTGCTCTTCATCTTGTTCTTGCCGTCGCCCTTGCCACCCTTGCCGCCCGAACTCTGCCAAGCACTCCTTTGACTGCTCGACTTGCCACCGCTGCCCTTCTGGTCCGACTTGCCGCCGAAGCCCTTGCCCTTGGAATCGCCCTTGCCGCCCTTGTCGAAAGCATCCACGTCCATGGCGTTCGGGTCGAACTTCTTCTTGGTTACCCTCGGGTCGTGCTGCATCATCTGCTGAGCGAAGGCCTCGCAAGTCTCCCGTAGGATCTGGTGGTTCGTGAAGGTCTGCATCATCACCTGAGTCTTCAGCGGCTCGGGCGTGTTCTTCTTGATCAAGGCCTGGACAAGGGTGCCTGAGATCACCTCTGAAAACTTCTCTTGATATCAATTGATGTCTAGTAGAAACTTCGTGAGCTCCTCGACGTAGGTCTCCCACTTGCCTGAAAACTCTTTGTTCACAAGAAGCTGCAGCTGCGTCACCTTGTTGGAGCCAGTGGCCGCATCCTCGCGTAGACAAAGACGTCGCCACTGCTCCAGGCCGTTGCCTGGCTCACAATTCATCACCAAGGTTAGCGCGCTGCCTCCAAGCAACTGTGATAGAATGTATCCCATCGTCGCTGCAAACTGCTTGTTATCGTCACCCATCTCTGAAAGCGTAATCACATTGCCGTGGGTAGCTGCTGTCGCGACTGCCTGTGCCAATCTCGGGTCGATGGCACCCAATTAGCTGATCAGCTGGTATCTGAAGGTCGGGAACTCATCGCGGTTGCCTGAGTACTTGTTTGGTCGTCCCAGCAGGCGCGTGTCCACAAGACCAGCCATCATGAGAAGAACAGAAACCAATCGCGCTACCATGCAAGTACTGAAATGTTATATTGATAACTTAAGTAGCGGAGCTGGGGTCCACGGACCTTGCCCGACAGGGCTGGTGAAATCCTTTTCCACCTCAGCATGAACTGAGCCAAAACTGGCTCTCATCAGTACACAAATGTCACAACAGCGCATGCACAACAATCCTCACTCAAATCACTGATATATACCTGGTTTCCTGCAAGAGAACGAATAGTTTTTCAGCCTAGGCGATTTCAGACCTCTCGATGCAACAGCCAAACGCCCCTCATGCTTCTGGATCGTTTCCTGTGCGCACGAGCTCCGTAGCTCTCCTACAGCCCGAGTTACGTGCGAAAATCGACAGCACCTCCCAAGATCACTCCAACAATACGAATAGTTTGGCAAACCTAGCTCGAGTATCAGACCGAGTTCAGACCTCTGAATGCAACAGGCGGACGCGCCTGATGTCTCCGAATCGATTCCTGCGATTACCAGCCCTGCAGGCCCCTTACAGCCCGAGTTAAGTGCAGAAAACCGAGAACACCTCTGAAGACGACTCGAACAATACGAATAGTATCGCAGACCTAGCTCAGGCAGACCGAGTTCAGAGCTCTGAATGCGACAGGCGGACGCGACTGAGGTCTCCCGATTCCAGTGATTACCAACCCTGCAGCCCCCCTACAGCCCGAGTTAAGTGCAGAAAACACACAGCACCTCTCAAGATGACTCGAAGAATACGAATAGTTCGCGGACCTAGCTCGGGTAGCACACCGAGTTCTGAGCTCTCGATTTGGCAGGCGGACGCGCCTGATGTCTCCAAATTGATTCCTGTGAGCACGAGCCCTCTAGCCCCCCTACAGCCCGAGTAAAGTGCAGAAAACAGACAGCACCTGTCAAGATGACTCGAACAATACGAATAGTTTCGCGAACCTAGCTCCGCCAGCAGACCGAGTTCAGACCTCTGGATGGAACAGACGAACGCGCCTGATTATTTGCAATCGATTTCTGTGCGAATGAGCTCTGTAGCTCCCCTACAGCTCGAGTTAAATACAAAATACCGAAAACGCGTATCAAGATGACTCGAAACAGCCGATCCCGCCGCGACGCTTTTTTGCAGAAATATTTACCCGATCGAGCTGAGATTAAGACGGCGAGCGGGAATAAGATCGAATATGGTCAGAAAAAATACTAGAGCTCTCACGAATGGTTGAATTTCGAGAACAAAATTTTCAACCGACCAACAGTCAGCAAAAGGTCCGTCGAGATTTGTCTTGCCAACTAGCTCTCCAGCGCGCCGGAATTACTCTTAAGCTTCCAGCAACTAGCTAAGGGAAGCTCTACGAGTTACGTGGACCAAGTACCGGAACCAGCTGCGGGCTCGGGCGAGGCGCTACGGCGGACGAGCGCCGTGGAGGAGCTCCTGGCGAGCACCACCACCGTCCAGCTTCTAATTTAAATCCTTGAGCTCTCAGTGAGCTCTCCGGGAAAAACCCGGAAACTGGGCGCCGGCGGTAAACCGTCAACCTTTGTTACCGCCGGGGGACTCGTAGAGCTTCCTGACAACATATAATGTCGGAAAAATATACACAGAAAACATATGTTCAGCCCAAGCAATTTCAGACCTCTCGGATGCAACAGCCGAACGCCCCCGATGCTTCTGGATTGTCTTCTGTACGAGCTCTGTAGCTCTCCTACAGCCCGAGTTACGTGCGTAAATCGACAGCACCTCTCAAGATGACTCGAACAAAACGAATAGTTTGGCAAACCTAGCTCGAGTATCAGACCGAGTTCAGACCTCTGCATGCGACAGGCGGACGCGTCTGATGTCTCTGAATCGATTCCTGTGATTACCAGCCCTGCAGGCCCCCTACAGCCCGAGTTAAGTGCAGGAAACCGACAGCACCTCTCAGGATGACTCGAACAATACGAATAGTTTTGCGGACCTAGTTCGGGCAGCAGACAGAGTTCGGAGCTCTGGATACGAAAGGCGGACGCGCCTGATGTCCCCGAATCGATTCCAGTGATAACCAGCCATGCAGCCCCCCCTACAGCCCGAGTTAAGTGCAGAGAACCGACAGCATCCCTCAAGATGACTCGAACAATACGAACAGTTTCGCGATTCTAGATCGGGCAGCAGACCGAGTTCAGAGCTCTGGATTCAACAGACAACGACCACTGATGATTCTGAATCAGATTCTGTACGTATAGCTCTGTAGCTGTCCTGTAGCTCGAGTTAAGTACAGAATACGAATAGGTTTGCGGACCGCTAGCAGACCGAGTTCAGACCTCTGGGTTCAACAGGCGAACGCGCCTGATCATTCTGAATTGATTAGCTGTGCTTACCAGCTCTCTAGCTGTCCTAAATCTCGAGTTATCTCGAGAAAACCGAGAACGCGTATCAAGATGACTCGAAATGGCCGATCCCGCCTGGACGCTTTTTGGCAGTAAAAGGTACCCGATCGAGCTAAGATCAAGATGGCGAGCGGGAATGAGATCGAATATTACGGGAAAAAATACTAGAGCTCTAACGAATGTTCAAATTTCGAGAACATAATTGTGAACCGACCAAAATTCTCAAAATGTCCGTCGAGACTAGCGTCGGCGGTGAACCGTCAACCTGGTGACCGCCGGGAACCTCGTAGAGCTCCTTGCATGCGGAAGAGTGCCCAGAATCGAAGCAGACTCCGCAGTAGATCTTCGTAAAATCTTGATTTCAAGTGATGTCAATCTAACGTCAGATGCCGGCTCCGCCTGGGAGAATTTGTCGACGAAATCAGCTAAGAATTTCTGAGGTCTATTCTGTGATGCGAAGCTTCGCTCTGCGCAATTATCAGCCCAAACGAATTGTTGGAACTGGAAAATCGGCTGAGCCAGGCCGCGGATGGTATGATCGGGTCCCTTTTCGAAATTTCGTCAACTAGCTCTACTCTGTCGCCGAATTCCTCTTGCTCTGTTACCATCAGAGCTCTACGAGGTATTTTCCTTGCCAACTAGCTCTCCAGCGCTCGGGAATTACCGGCGCCGGCGGTGAACCGTCAACCTGGTTTTTTGCGGTTTTGCGGGCAGCGAAGGCTCCGTCGAAGCCTGCCCGAGCCAAACGCCCAGCAGGGCGCCTCGAGCTCTCTGCGAGCTCTCAGCACGCACCCGGCCGCCCCAATGAGGCGCTCCAGCGCCGTCAGTTCGGCATCAGTGACTGTACTATCTCTAGGCAAGAGAAGGGCCGCCTCCGCAACATCTCTCCAAACGAGACCGTCACAGGAGGCAGCAGGCTGAGGCGAGTCGGGGGCAGCGGAATGCCGCAGGCGCTTGGAGCAGTGTTCAGGATGGGGGAGAAAGGCGGCCTCGAGAAAGAAACCAATACCACAACCAGACGCATCCACTCCGCCGTCGAAACGACCGCGGAGGGTAACAAGTTCATGATACTATACATGATCGGGTGGAACAGGCCTCATAGTGTAACACGCGCGGCCTTCCCGTGCGCAATGTGTGAGGGCATCCGCCCTCTGGTTGTTCTCTCTGAATTCATGTTTGAGGAAGTCACGACCAAGGAAACTGGATCTGAGATGATATCGATTTTCCAGCCACGCAATCTTATCCACCAGCTTATCGACTCTCTTTTGATACACGTTATTTCCCACCCTCCACTTCCCACGGACCCAATTTATAATAAGAAGACTATCTTCGCAGAGCTCCAGAGGGAGCCCACGCGAAACAACGTCCCAGACCGTCGCCCTTTCATTTAGGATGGCTAACCGTTTTGCTAACTTTTCCGCCTCCGCTCCAGACACCTCCTGAGACATCAACTCATCCCAAGACATCTTTTCCACCACGGAGTCGGACCCCTTTCCAGAACACACGAAATACTCAAACGCTTTCTCATGGCCACAGTGTTTGAGGTAATCAGGCATCTTGTCGAGGAACGTTTTCCAGGAAAACACACCGTCCTTCCACCAAGAGGCCCCAAATAAGATATATGCCATGTAACTCCAAGGTCTTTCTCCTGATGCACCAGCTCCGACACGAATGCGTTTCAGAGCACTAGCTTGCTTCCACAGTCCCTTCTGTCTGAGGACCTCACTGAAGTCTGAACGAGCACCCCCCCATGATGGACGCGAACACAACAGCATCCTCCTGGCGCCCCTCCAGGCACGGGCACCATTGGGAGGAGCAATGGGGAGAGCCAGCCGACGACGTTTACAATCTTCCCGATTCGCATAAGCAGCATCCCAGTTAGTCGCATGATACTCCGCAACATCTTTTACCAGCAACCATGAACGATGCAATACACGTTGAACCGAACTCTGAAACCCATGATCATGAAATAGCTTTCGGACCACATGCAAACGAGCAGGGCGCCATATGTCCCAGGATACACTGGCGGGTTTCGATGTATGACACATCCTCAACAAACATGTGCCCTCAAAGACGTGGGTTTTGTGAATCGAGTCCTTTTCCCACGTCAGCCCTTCCGAGCCGAAGAGCAGGGTAGATTGCACGATGGACTGATA